TCACCCTCGTCAGTACCATCGCCCCACCACTTATCACCATTATCAAAACCATAAGCACCGTCATCGACAACAGCACCAGCACCACTATCACTATTGCCGTCGACATCAGAATCAGCAACATCAGCATCCTCATCGCCCCCCTGCCCTCCTCCTCCTCCTGCGACGGCGGAGAGCGTGTCCACGCACGCATCCGAGGCCAACGCCTCTTGGATCGCGGACATGTGTAAAACAAGAACGCAATCCACCGCTTTGCGCGCGCCGCCGCCGCACGGCCCGCTAGCCGGCCATCTCGGCCGCCAGCGCGGCCTGGGCCGCAAAAGCTCCGCGCTACAGGCGGCGCGCCACTGCACTCGCAGGCGCCTCGGTGTCGGGGCCGTCGCCCAGGTCCTACGCACGGCCCCGTGCTAGCCAGCGCAAGTGGCGCAGCGCCGCCCCGTCGAGCTGGCCACCCTTCTCGCGGGCCAGGGGCAGGAGTGGCAAGGGGGCCTGGCTTTTGGGGTATCGGCAGCGCTTGTTCGCCCCCCCCTCGGCGGCCACCGCGCCGTCGCCGTCCGCGGCTGCGGACAGGGCGCGCGCGCTCCCCGGGGCCCTGTGGCGGACAAAGACGTCCGCCAGCAGCTGGGGGCAGTCGCCAAGCTGAGCTCCGAGGTCGAGATACGCCTCCTCGTGTCGACCTCGGGCGGGCCTGCGCAGCCTGCCTGGCGGCACGCCGCGCAGCCGCGCGCGGCACACCCCTGGGACCAGGACCTGTCGGGCCGTGTGGAAACCGCACTCCTGGCGGATGCAGTCTCACACGTCCTCGACATCCCTGCAGGCGCAGCGGAGGGCGCGCAGTGCCCTGCGACAGAGCAGAGCGGCTGGCCTCGCGCGCTCGCCGATTCGTAGGTGGTTGCAGCAGTGGCTGCAGCCCTGCTCCTCCTCCACCTCCTCCTCCCCTTCCTCCTCATCCCCCACCCCCTCCTCACGTTCCTCCTCCTCCTCCTCCTCCTCCTCCTCCTCCTCCGCCTCCTCTTTCTCCTCCTTCTACTCCTCCACCTCCCTCCTCCTCCTGAGGGGGACCTCCTCTTGCTACTCTTCCTCCTCATCATCATCCTCGTCCTCGTCCTTGTCCTCCTCCACTTCCTCCTCCTCCTCCTCCTCCTCCTCCTCCTCCTCCTCGTCAACCTCCTTATTCCTTGTCATCCTCTCCTCCTCCTCCTCCTCCTCCGCCTCCTCCTCCACCTCCTCCTTCTCGTCCCCCTCCTACCCTCCCGCGATGATCGGCCCTCCGCGGACGCGACGACGCCGCAGCCGCCTGCGGAGACGCCGGCGCGCGGCCAGGGCAGCCCAGGGGGGGCCCGGTGGCGGAGGCGGCCCCGGCCGCCTCGGCGGCAAGGGAAGACGAGGCAGGCCCTGCTCGCTCGGGCGGGGCCTCCCTGGAGGGGTGGGAGGGGCACGAAACCTGATAAATAACATGGTGTGCGAATACCCTGCTCGCTCGGGCGGTCTCTCCTGGAGGGTTGGGAGGGGCACGAAACCTGACAAATAACATGGTGTGCGAATGCCCTGCTCGCTCAGGCGGGGCCTCCCTGGAGAGGTGGGAGGGGCACGAAACCTGATAAATAACATGGTGTGCGAATACCCTGCTCGCTCGGGCGGGCCTCCCTGGAGGGGTGGGAGGGGCGCGAAACCTGATAAATAACATGGTGTGCGAATACCCTGCTCGCTCAGGCGGGGCCTCCCTGGAGGGGTGGGAGGGGCACGACACCTGATA